TACTGTAAACACACACTTTAATCACTAAAACACATGTCGAACAATTTCATGGTTTAACGCAGCTCTCAAGAGGCTTTTAAAAATGAGGCCCTTATCGTAAGAGGAGTGCAGACTCTGGCCCTGCTTAACTCCGGCTTTTCTGTCTGTAGAGCTGTTTTTCTGTCTACAAAATCATGTACTGACCACAGTAAATCATACAAATACATAACAGATTTAAAGAAGATGCAACCATAGCCTTGATCAGATACTGCTTTGGTCTTTCACCGTGCATTTGTCACTTATCTGTTGCTATCATCGATGCAGAAGCACTTTAACTGAATGTAAAAGTTAAATCCATCTTTGCAGAATGGAGGTTTTCCACATTCAAACTTCCTCAGGGTGACAGATGCTGGATTATCATTTATCAAAACTGAATTTCTCTCAAACCCCTGATAGACCAGTGACCTCTCCAGGCTGTTGTGCATTCTTGCCGGGATGAATAGATGGAAGTTTTATTTATTCTTACTTTTTTTTTTCTAATGCCCCGTTCCCCCTTTCTGTAGAGGACAATGGAAAAACTGCATTCTAAACAACTCAAGATGGCTTTTTTTTTTGTATATAAGATTAAGTTTTTTCTTTCTTTCTGTGCTGCTGCACCGCAGTGAATGTAAAACAAGCAGCAGGATTTGCTCAGAAATGTGACAAAAATGTAAGTGGAAAAAGAGTTGACTTGGGTCTCTGAGAATCAGTGTAGGAGCCATCTTTTAATACATAGATAAATGGATAAAACACAAACAATAAATATATACTTGTCTTTGTTAATTAGCTTTGAACCACTCATATGTCACTGACTTGGAGATTTTGCATAACATACTTGAGTAACTCTATCCTGTTGTATGCATGTGGATTATGTTGCATTGTGCTGTATTTTGAGTAGTATATATAATGATGGGACAAGAAAAGTGTAAGGCAGTTGCAGTTGTATCTGCCAAATCATACACTACTCTATGTTATCATTAGAAATAGAAATAGAATAGATAGGAGGCCAAACCTATCAGGACCGCCTTGTAAATTGCTGCACAATCACCTGTAAAGAGATGCTTCAGAGCTCATGGCATGAAACGGAGTCTCAGTATATTCGCTAGAGATTTCACAAAGTATGGATGAGGACATGCTGTAACACTGAGCTGAGACACCTTTCAGGAAACCTGCCCTGTGTGGTCAAAGATGTTTTGCAGTCATGTTGATCCCTCTGAACGTCCCCTCGCTGTGCTTTTTGTAAACTTTGTGATGCAGACTCTCAGCTTATCAGCGGTGTTAACATCTATGAAAACTGCTACATTTACAGCAGTATTCTCCCGACATGATCCGCCGAAAAAGGGTTTCTCTTATTTCTCAAAAGGGTAATAAAGCATTTATCTAATCTTCGGAACAGTCTGCATATCTGAAAGCCAAATCTGAGCTCTTAAATTCAAAGCAGTTTTATTTTTAAATCCTCGTTAAATACCGTCTACTGGGTGAACAGGTGGTCCAGGGGTAAAGTTACTATCCGCCACCACAGAGGCCCAGAGAACAAAATCCTGGTGCACTCAGCATCGTGGTCGTGGTCGTGCGCGGGAAGCTGGTGCTGGTTTCGAAACCCTGTAGCTGCAGTAACGCCTCGCAGTGGTTGGTCGTGGTACTGCATGACCCTCCTTGATAAACGTACCCTTGACCCTGATATCAGCTTTGTTTATTCGCTGACTCTGTATTTGATACTCCTTTATTGAATGATTTGTTTTATGACGATGATAATAATAATCATGGTTAATATTATCAGAAACACCATTTGCATGAAAAAGTTAATAAATAGAAACAAGCTTTGCACACAGCACATTCAAATAATACATATATATATATATATATATATATATATATATACTGTATATGGTAGATATACAGTGGTCACAACTTTGCAAAAAGTTTCAAAGAATACGCATTGGGTATGACAAAAAATATATATTCAATGCTTTATCCCAACTGAATGTGGAACACACACACACACACACACACACACACACACACACAAAGTAGACACGACAAAGAGATTAATGAATGTTCTGCTGGTTTACCACAATGTTAACTTGACTAATGGGAAAGCCCATTAAGTAGAGCCGACAGTGTGAATGCAAACTACATTAAGTATGAATTGTGTTATTAACAACTGCAAACATTGTCTCCATAATCAAACAACATCCCACTAGTCACGCAAAAACACTGACGTCACTCCTCTTGAATACTGCATGACGTGATTCGATGGCATAGAAATCCTCACCAGTGCAAGGGGTTGTGCAGCCAACTTGGCACGAAATGCTACAATAGATAATAAAATGCATGTGTTATAATGGCAGCAAACAAACTCACTTCAGCCCAATCGATTTGCATCTACATTACACGATCTGACCAAAGAAAATGAGCTAAGTTTCTCCAGAAAAAGGCTCTTAAGTTTGGGAAACACTTCAGGTACAATGTGCAAAGGAGACTGAGATGAGTAAATGGATGTCTGGTCCTTCTCTTAACGGTAAACTGACTGACTGAAGCTACTTTTTGACAGCAGACAGATGAGACACAATATTCAGCTGCTACAATTATCATAACATTGTGGCTATATGACAAGTCTAACAGGGACTGGAGGCGGTACGCTTGAGAAGTTTGAAGCCCTCAGCACTAAGACAGCAGAACTTCATGCTGCCGAGCAGAAAAGACATTTTTCATGTCTTTTCTCCTGTGGACCAGTGATGAACGACTGCGCCAACAGATCTGAATAAGAAATGGAACCAGCCAAGGCAAGTTTGTATGCGTGTACGGCCTGTTGTGGATTGACTGACTGATCAAGTGATTGATCATAAAATGTTCCCAGATTAGTGAAGAGATAAAACACAAATACTTTCATTAACCTCTCCTCGTGGGAAGCAGAGAGTGGGCTGATGGAGTTTTATTATGCGTTAACTCACAGTGTTTTCCTCATTGTGATGTTTTCGTGGAGAATATCTCTGCAGTTGCCTTTTGTCTGCTATGTTTTCTACAATATGATGAAGATAGAAGTGTAATGAGGGGTACAGCAGCTCTGCATATCAGAGACCAGTGCCCTTTCTTCGCATCAAGAAGAGCGCTATATTTACTGATGTATGGATTTAATTGGGTGTCGATGCATTACTCGGTGCTACCGGTGGTAAATATGGATATAACCCTTCATTATTACATTGAATTCAATTTAGAAGGAAAACTCAATAGTCCCAGATGAACTGGATAAGCTTGATTTGTGTGTGTGTGGGCGCTTGTGTCCATGCACTCATTATGCATTTCTTTGCAGTCGAGTCATGAGGCTCGTGGTACCATAACGGAGAGCCGTGAATCATTAGAGGCAGTGCACCGCAGTTTAAGGAGACTGCCAGTCAAAGCAGACTACAGAATAGTTAAGATGCGCGCATGTGGCCCGTCTGCATGTGGGTGGGCATCGAGGCGTGTGCGTGCATCCGCATTATGATTCGAGCTTTAAATGGATAATTCACCTTGATGTTGTGGCGGCAGTCAATGGCGATTCTCAACAGTGCTAATGTGTTCTACTGTTTAAAATTCCATTTTTTTTTTTTTTACATGCAACGTCCACAGGGGAGGTCTGAGTGCGGCGGTGCAGGTCGTTTACAGGTCAGCTCTGCTAGATCTAATAAGTGGTTTTCGGAGTGTGACTGGAGGACATTTCATGAGGGTGGATAATTGCCATTTTTTTTGAATTTGAAGCATCTTGCTTGTCATTACGCTACACGTGATGCTTTTAGTTTCAAACTGAGAAAATAAAATCTAATTGCTTGTTGTTCAAGTACTCCCGGCTTTAATTGACAGCTGGCTTCCTTTTAAATTCATTTATTTTAAATGAGGATTTGATGATGTTATAATTAACCTGCTATCCAAGGAACAGAACACACCACTGAGCAAAACTCAAAATAAAAATTGTTATTAGTATTATTATACTAATATTAGTAGTCAGCAATAGAAGCAGTTAATCACTGATGTATATTCATGTATCTATTTCCCAGTACCATGTTACATACCATTACTGTACTGCAACAACATGGCCAGACTTAAATCAGCTTATTAACTGTATATTTTTGATGACTCTTGAATAAAGGCCAGAGATTAACTGAAAAGGCACCTCAAACCCAATTCAAATTCTCTCCCAGCTGTGTAAATAAAATAAAAAAAATCCCAAATGAACATACTGTAAGCGACTGGAAGTTTGAAAACTGAACTTCAAAATAAAAGCACCAGCTCACAGGTTTTGGGTGGCTGGAATACCCAAACCTATGTGAAACTCCTGTCTAACTTCAACAAGTTATTATCACATTACCTTAATAATCTCTCTGTTGTTGAATTTAACAGACCCTTTCAACAATTCAATTCATCTCAATATTTTAATTTCTGTATACTACTTCATGAGTTGTATCCTTTGGTTTAAACATGTTGAAAGTCGTTTGAATCATCACACACAAGTTATCACAAGTTATTACAGCCCCTGAGTTGTGTTTTTAAATTGTTTGTACTGAGAACAAACAAACAAAGTACAGTGATATGAAATTATGAAGAGCACCAAATACTTTTTTCTTACAGTATTCTTACTACTGTAATGAGCAAATGTTTGGCATAAATCCCACTTACACACATTCAACAGCTCTGAAATGCAATTAATTATTCCTGCAAATCATTTCAGCATACATCAAAATGTTTTAACTGCCAACCCAAACCTTTAATAATGCTTGGAAACGTTATCAGACGGATATATATTTAGATAAAGGGACCCACAGCCCTATCAGGTTAAATGCGCTCGTGCACTTTATTACTTTCAATTTTTCAAATCCATCAGCGTGGATTTTATTTTGAGCATTTTTTCCGGAAGTGTAAAAGGTTATTGTGGCTGACTTTGAGATTGATCTCTGCACAGCCGCGCGCAGCTGCTTTCATTTCCCCAGCGCTCCAGACGCCACACGACGGAGAGAGCGGGAGCTCGCGCGTCTCGCTCCGGGGATATATCGCCTCTGATGGACTTGAGATAAGACAAGAAAAAAAAAACACCGTCCGTCTCTGACTCCGAACACTTTGCGTGCGTTAGTTACGAGTGGAGTTCCGCCGAGGCTTACAACTGCTCTAAATGGTCTTAAGTGTCACCGGCGCAGCTTTTTTAATGTGTTTCATGTGTTTGCGCTCAACAGTGAGGTAGACGGACACGTTTTACGCAAGTGTCGGCGTGTGATTTACCCCCCAACCCCCCCGTGGATGCGGCTGTCGGGGTCGGTGTCTGAGCCCTGCAGGATCCGCCTGTCATAGGGCACCGTGATTTCTCTCCGGTTACTTCGCAAGTGGATGAGGAATATTTCACCGGAAGATGCTGCTGTTGATGCAGATGTTGTGGTTTTTACCTCTGACTGGAGCGGCTCCGTCCCAGACTACCGAGCAGCTGGACACCGGGGTGGTAAGTTTTCTATCTTTTCTATCTACTTATTGGGGGGGGGGGGGTTCTATCATAGTGTGGGGTGGCAGGTCCCCCCCCCCCCCACACACACACACACACACACACACACACACTCCTTTTCCTACTTGGGCTACCTCTCCAACCACCAGAAAAGAGCACTAGTCTTCTCCGAATACTTGCTCTGAATTTTAACACCGCTCTGCAGTTCAACGCACGAGGCGGAGTGGCGGTACGCACTGCATGATGGAGAAAAAAAAAAAAAATATATATATATATATATATATATATATAAACGTCTATATAAGAACTTTGTTTACCTGCTCAGGAATCAACCCTTCATTCCAAAAACCACAAATAATACATACAAAAAAATCGATGTGTTACCTATAATAAATAAATGTATGTGAGGAAGATGAGCTCTGACGTTAGATATCGACCTCTTCCACTGGATCCTGTGCTAATGAGATAACTGGAGCTCAATGGGACGGAATGAACCCACGAGGAAACATTTAATCAGGGCTGTTCTCACTCAAACTATGAAAGATTTGAAACCAAGAGAAACCAATTGCTGTGTTTTAAATGAGAGGATCCCACACTCGTCTGGTGGAGCTGTAGATGAAGGACTCCACTGAAACACCTTTGATTTGAGGCTATTCACCTATAAACAGATCACTCCAAATATCACCCCAGTGAATTGGATGTATAGTCTTATATTTTTATTTCGGCTTATGTTTTGCTTTAGTAATGGAGGAAGCTCCACAGACTGTAAAGTAGTCAGTGACTATACATCATCATCATCATCATCACTGTCCCACAGCATACAGTCAAGACTGAGGTTAAGGGAGCAAGACACCTGCAAATGGACTGATTGTGCAAGTTTATTCTTATCCATATACACTATAAGCTGTACATAAAATATGACATTATTCAAAATTCCAAAGTTCTTGTGTGATTTCCTCCCCTACTGGAGTTGCATTTTACTACAATTTCCACTCCTTTGGGCGACATCAGTTTATGTTGCTGCACATCCAAACTTGTGACTCGCTTTCAGCACTCCAACTATTTTCTCAAACCCACACTTGGGGATTAAGTTTATTTCTTTACGAAGACTAGAACAAAAAGCACTGAAATAGATGCGTTTCCATTTATTTACTTATCCCCCCCACCCTCCCTCAGGTATTTGCTTGAGATTGCATGGCTATCATTTCTGATCTACTTTAGACCGTGTGTGCAAGAAAAAGAGAATTTCAACTTCAACAAATGGTATGTAGGCTACACATGTTTGTACATAAATTACATTATCTAAGAAAAGGTTCTCGAGGAAGAAAAAAGGAGCCACAATAATCCCGTTCAGTTTACATTACCCACGTTTTCTCATAGCTGCGGTGGATGCCAACAACCTTGACATGTGGTCACGGTCTGTTGCACCTTTTCGCTCGGAATCAATTTATTTTTTTTTCAGTTTTTTTCCAAAAGGTCAGTTTGGCCACACCTGGCAGGATTTTCATTAGGACCTGCACGCACTTCTTCCTCGCCGCGTAGCTTCGGCCACAAACAACCGAAGCCTGCTATCACATCACGAGCGTAGTTGCACTGATTTCCAGTTGCAACATAATTCCGTCCTTCATCTCAACATTTAGGAATCATTGTCGGAATCAAGACTTTTTCTACCGATGAAAAACGCTTTCTTCCTGTTTTTATCTGTCAGGTTACCTCTGTTTTTTCTCTTCAATCGTCAATTGCTGTAAATGCCATGATCATTATTGGCCACTGGTATCGTTAAGTGTTGTTTTCTCACTAAAGAATACATAGAAGTTGTGAATTACAGTTATGAAAGAATGCACTTTAGCTGATGCATCATTCTGGTAGAAGATAACAGTTTTGTACTGTAATTTTTGCGCATTCTTGGAAAAAACGGGTGAACTACGACACAACAGACGCATTAATTGTCTACCATTTGCCGTGGCAGAGAAAAACAATGCTTTTTTACGTTTCTATAGACCTAATATGATGCGCTCAGTCCAAAGTGGTGCTGTGGTCTTTGGGCCATTACTCTCGCTGTGATGTCTTGGATGCTCCGTCCCGCTTCACATGCCAGTAAATGCAAAGCAACACTGCCAGTCCAGTGATGGATACAGGCCTCCACACAAGTTGGTCGATGGACTCCGAGGCACTAAAGATGACTCTTGGCGGACTTCACGAGGGTTCATGCAATAAAAGTGACCACTTCCTGGATGGTGAGCCTCTTTTCCCAGCATACTTCTGCTGAGGAAACCCTTTCAAAACAACAATTTCTCGCTTTGGATGTCAGTTTTACAGGTACAGAACATTACTTAAATTACTCAAATCCTACGCTTAAAAAGCCTTTAAGCGTAGGATTTGAGAATCTCATATTGCATTTTTAAAAGTGATACCCAAACCAAAATCTGTTATTTGTGTACCAAACGCTCACACCCTGTAGGCTCACATGGGGGGGTAAGATGTGTTTGTAGTTTATTTCTTTCTTTTTTAGAAGAAGAAGAAGAGAAACTTTAGTGACAGGTTGAAGAAGACATGCGTTCCCCAGCACCACAGCATATTTCTCAATGTGCCCACACACAGGAGCGTCTGAGAAGTGACTTGCTGTACCCTTGAGGTCCACCCTAAAAGGCTTAATGTAGTAACTTCCTACGCCTAGAAACAAAGACATAAAAGTGCCATTCAAGTTTATCCTTTTGAGTCCAGCTTGACCACTTATGAGTAAGCAGGTGGAATGATCCTTGTAGATTCAGGGCAGGTCTTTTTTTTGGGGCCCCAAGAAAATAGTTGGAACAAAGACTCTTTCTTCTGTCTTCAAGAGAAGACGCAGGAGGAGGATGTCTTTGTAGGAGCTCCAGGTGGAAGTGTGTGTCCTCCTATTGTTTAGAGGCCACATGTGACTCCCCCACTTTGGAGATGAGGGGCAGCGGAGAGCAAAAGTTCACAGTCGTAAGTGAAAAGTACCATACGCTGAAAAGGTTTGGAAGGAGATAACCCTGATCAAGGGGAATAATGTTACTAAGACATTCCCTGCCATCACTTACATGATAGATGAAGTGTTTCCTGCTTTATTCATTGATTGACGGAGTTTGATCACCGACAGCGAAGGCACTTTATCCAGACAATATAATCCCAACTGCAGCTCCGGGTTGAAAGTATCGGTGCAGACAGCTCCGATGATGATTACTTGGCCGGTGACTGATTTCTTGTCCGTGGGGTGCAGCGGGACACGCAGAGAGCATCATTCTGTGCCACTGCAAGGGCTGTAAAGTACAGATGTGATCAGATGATTGCACACATCATTCTCTCTCTACTGTGGATACATGCATGTGTGTGTGTGTGTGTGTGTGTGTGTGTGTGTGTGTGTGTCTGAAACGCCCCAAAAACAACCATCTCACCACATAACAATCCTCTCGTTTTAAATCTGTGCTCCCATCACACTCCGTTGCAGTGGCGCTCCATCACTTGGCTCATAGTTGAGATTGTGAAATCTTATGTATGGTATGTGTCTCCATAACAAGCACACGCTGACTCCTTAAGTAACTCAACCACCGCACAGATCAGAGATTCATTTCATAATACTGCTTCTATCCAGGTTGATGTATCGCCGCATAGAGCCGATTTGCCATTTCAGCACTTGAGGGACCCGAGTCATAACAACTACAACGTGTACTGTAATGTGTTTTTCTGCTCGTCGTGTTATGTTCCTCGCGAGGAACATTTTCCTTCACTCAAAACCGAACTGCCGAGCTTCCCGAAGGAGCTGTTCACCTGGACTCTCAGGGCTGCTCCTTTTCCTTTCTTTTTATGATGAGCGAGAGTGAGCTGAACGAATTAGCGGCTGATAAATTACCGGATTAACTGGGCATCCGGCAACCAGTGGAATTTTTCTCCATTAAAAGAACCACGGGCTAATGATCCACAGAGCGTCTGGAAGGGCAGCCACAGCCCCGCCGGTCCATTTCTCACTCTCGTTTTGCTGTTTAATTTCTTCAATGAGGACACCATCTGGCATCAATTCCCCCTGGAGCGGTAGGCCCCTCCCCCTTGCTGCTCCCATGTCACCGCCACTCCCTCTCCTCCCTGGTAAATATCATATTAAAAAATTCTTAAAAATAACAAAAGAAGCAATCAAAAACCAAGAACAATTGTTTTTAGGAATATCTAGGGTTTAGAAATAGTCCCTCTAGGATCCTTTTTGTGATCATTCCAACCCAAAAACCCCCAAAAAAATCCTTTTGGGTTATTTTGAATAGTTTAAAAATTGCAAGGTTTGCTGAAAAGACTGTAGATACGGCTCACTAACACCCATTATGGGTTGGGGGGTAATTAGGTCATCGGTCTTCTTAAGAGGAGCGTAACAATGAGCATGAGCTTTTCAGCACCAAAAGAAAAAGTAGTAGAGCATCCACTTGCGCTCTGCTGTTTTGAATCCCCTACTCTACAAGTACCATTAATCCCCCCCCCACCCGACAATGGTTCAGGAATTTTCTAGTGTGGAAAGCGAGACGGAAAAATGTACATTTTAATAATTCAGTTTTTGTTCTGAAGAGGTATAATGAGGAAATCATTTCATTTCCAAGCCCCATTTCTCTGGCCGCCAATAGTACCCTCATTAGTACCGGCTGTGTACATTTCTCCAGCGTTCCATCCCTTCACTTCACTAATACTCAAAAGCATGTGCTAAATGAAGAGGATGTTTCAGCCAAGAACATTAAATCTTTTGTCTTTGATTTATGGATATTATACCTATAAGGTAGATTGATTGATTTGTTAGAGCTAGCTATGTGAGTAATAAGGTGTGCAGGAATATTAAGCCACGCCGGGTATAAAAGAAGCACTGTGGATGCTGGTTTGCATGTAAATATGTTATTACTCTCTCAGCCTGGATCGTGAGGATACTTTCAGCACCGCTGTCCCACTTCCATCAAGCCGTGTGACCTTCTGTCTGCAGAGATGCATCTTGGGACTCCAATTCAGGG